GGCTGGTATATAAAAAAGAAGGAATGTAATGTGTGTGTGGATAGTGAGTAATTGAACTGCAGTCACACGGTATTGTTGAAGTTAACGTTGTTCGTTACTGTTTGTTTTAGCGCGAATATTGAGATTAAGTGTATCGCAGAGTTATATTCGGAAAGAATAAACCAGTTTTATTAAGTAAAGACTTGTGTCGTTAAAATTTCGTCGGAACGAGGTTATGGAAAGTTAATTAACAAACGGAGACGTAACATATTAATATAAACCGCTCTCAGTACTCATGTACCTGATCACGTGCAATTAAATGTACAGAGCACCTTATACTTTTTCCCTTGTATTGACTGTTGGCTCCCATGGTAACAAGCAAGCATTGCTAAGAAGCATGAGTTCCAAGTAAAGTTTATTTGACAGTCTAAAGCCAAAGTATCGTTTGAGACCTACAAATTTGCAGTTCCTCCAGCTCATTTTTTCTCCCTGCTGTTGGGTTTAGTCAGAATTGCAAGTTATTTTTATTACTTTCAGTAATGCAACAGTTAGTGTGGACTATGTTTTTAGCATAAATCCCACGTGAGTTTCAACTTTCAGCTCAAACTGTTGAGCTCAACTAGTTACTTTACGTCAAGTAAAGTTCTGAAACTCGTGAAGAGTCGGGGAAAAGAACTTCCTGTAAGGCAGTTGCTGTGTAACGGCAATTACTTTGTATAAATCGATACCCTATACTAGAGTGAAGGCTGGCATTCCACAGTGGCCTTAATCTCGGAGTTACCGCAAGCAGGTAAGTAAGATATTCCTATTGCCCAACTCCCGAATTAGGATCACAATTCAACGGTAACTTATATTCGGTTCATTTCTGTTTTCATTTATTTTTCAGATTTCATAATAGCTTTCTCTACTCATCTTTTTGCCATTTCATTATTAATGGTCTTTCTTCATCCACAGAAGTAGATGAACGAAATTCGGTATGCTATTACCGTGCTGTACTATAGTAAAAGACCAAATCTTTTAATCCCTTCAACTTTTTTATTACAATAATATTTTTTTTTTTATTTGTGCAACAGTTTTATATCATTTCCTTATGTAAAACAGTAGGTAATAATACAGTTTTAGCCCACAAAATTCATTGGTGTAAATCTTCCTAGTAGTTATACAATAAACTTTTTTTTTACTTTCATCCTTTATCTATTAACAACCTAATTAGTCTAATGAGAGTAGAACTAGCTGGAATCTGCAGCATCAAGCTAGTTATGTATTTTGTTTTAGCCTAGTGTGAAGGTTAATAACATATATTACATACAAAAACAACAACAGCTACATTCTACTTCTAGCAACAACGTTCAACTATAAATATACTTATAAAAAGTCATCCTTTGTCATACTATAACTTATATAATTACATTTACATGATATGAACACCAATCATACTGTAAGTACACTTACATTATATCAGCATCAAACCTATTGTGAGCACACTAACGTTTTCTTGATACCAATCATACTGTAAGTATTTTCACATTCATCCAACATCTATAATTGTTTGATGGTTAACATCAGTCACTGAAAGGAGACAAATTTTCTCAATATCAGACCTACTATACACTTACTTTCTTCAAAATAAGCCCTATTGCACATTCCCTTACATTATTTCAACATTTTTATTGTAAGTATACTTACATAATTTTAACACTGTTTCTATTGTAAATACACTTGCATCTTTTCAACACCAATCATGCTACAAGTACCTATACATTTTTTTTCAATACCTATAACTCAGTATTCATTATAAATCATATTGTAATAACATATACATCTTCTTAATCAATCATAATTTATGTACAATTAGATTTTATGAATACCTGTAAATAGTGGGTACTTTGTATTATACATAAAGTAAAAAGTTTAACCCTTTTTTCCACATACTGTAAGGTGTCTGTTTCACATATCAAATTCTTTTCTCAAAGAAAAACTGAGATAAGTAGAGGAAGTTTGATAGTTTGAGGGATTTTGAATCATTTCAAGATTTCATTCTTGTAGCTGTTTTGTCAGCTTCTTAATGAAATTTTACAGAAAGTAATAGATGTCTGTCATATGGTAAGCTTTGTTGCTATAGTGTTGGTTCATTGGTCGATCAGTTATGTATGATTGCTGCATATCATGGTAAGTTTTCATTTCCTGCTAAAGCTGCCATGTTATTAACTTTCCTACTTGAATGTGTAAACAAGATATCACAAACAAGCAGATATACATTATATATAAAATCTACCCATCATGCCAGTTCTAACAATAAAGATGATGGTAAACACTATTTTAACTATACTACATACCTACATGTGTAAAGTTAAGCATCTATTTTTTCACACTTGTAACTACAACTCTTATTTATATATTTCAACCACACGAAGAAGCTGTTACTCTGGCCAAGGTTTACATCATTAAACAGGAGAAAAATCAGTCTGTATTCAAATGTCATGACTTTTTGAGTCTCCTTCAACTTACATAATGATCTCGATTCCTGCTGAAGTACAGTCCCCCTGGAACCCGATCCTCCCACCTATCAGGAGGACAAGCTACTCTCCTGGGGCCATGATGAACACAGTCAGTGATGACCCCATCTCACTGTGGCTTCGCCTTGGGGCACTGGAAAAGCTTGAGCAAGTCCTACTGGATGGCTATGGAGAGCAACTTTATGGCAAGACATCCCGTATTCCCCAGGTCAACAAGTTTCTTAAACAGATACCAATCTTTCAGGTAATTATTGATAGGAAATAATTCTGAAGACAATATATATATATAAATATATAGACATGAATGAAATGGCACTTCTCTCTGCATACATAACCCTTCAAGGTCTGTGAAAAGTCAATTCTTTGGATAAGAATATTACATCAAGTCACAAAATGTATTTAAATTATCAACCAATTCCAGAAGGCTTTGCTTGTAAAGTTCAACTTCAATGTTCAAGTTATTATCCAGACAGGTTGAAGGGTTTGTTCTAAACAAATAGCTCAATCTCCCCTCCTAAATGCTGTATGTTACTTTCTATAAATAGAGTTAAAACACCTATACATCCTAACAACCAACAATTATATCATAAATGTTGTGACATCCAGAAGGCATGTTTTTGCTATACCTTCATTAAAATCCTCCAATTTAGTAATAACCTAGATAACCCAATGTCACAATGAAGTGATCCTAACATACAGCACATAGAACATTTTTAGAAACTAGAAGTACATGTATAATATTAAATTCTTGAAATGTAAAAACATATAGCAATTGCCACAACAATTCACTCAAATCACTTGACTAAATGCAGTTTAAGGTCTAAGGAACAAAAAGAGCTTTCAGAATAGAACTGACATTTTCTGTAGGAATATTCAGTTTGCTTTATTTGTAAGTGTAGCAGAGCTTAGTATTAGTTGTGTAGCTATGTGAAAACTTTGGAAATGTGTTAGCTATTATTAATCCCCTACTTCTTACTTAATCTTTAACAACTTTTAAGTCCTGACTTTTTCCAGAATACTGGCTAATTTTTTAAATATGTGCTCAATAAAGAAACATTTGTGGCAGTTAAAAATGAATTAACCTTAAACTATGCAAGTAACAATTTTGTTACTATATGAATTATATCATAAATCTTAACCTATCTCTGTGACAAAATAATTTTAAATGCTACAAATCTATCACTTCTAAACTAGGAAGGGTTCCTTACCATAAGAACTATTAATAGCAAAATGTTCTTTTTTGTTACCTTGCATGGAACAATGTTGCATTAATTAGGTTTTAACTTTAATCAAACGAAGCCTGGTTTCTGCTCAATACTTTCACTTTGCTTCTTTATTTACAGACTTTCTGGAAATTCAAGGCTTTTTAAGGTATTTAAATATGTTCATATAAAACAGATTCAATACATGACTTCTCATACCTACAACTTGGCAAGAAGTATATAAAAGTCATGGATGCCATAGTCTTGTTTCAAGGTTGTTTTCTCTCTGTATATTTCATTCTGTTTATTGATTCTGAATTAAGTGTCCTATTTCACATACTAAGGAAGCTGCTAACACACAATTATGCTTTCCTAATAATAGTATGAAACTGAAAAGAAATACTTAAATGTATATATAAAGCCCTTGCACATTTCTTAGAAATTTAAAATAGAAATTTTCCAAAAATCTGATAAACTTTAATCAATCTGTTTAGCAATTGAAACTGCTTTATTATCTCCTTTTCTCTTAACTGTTAGGCTAAAATAGAGGATATCCATAGGGCTATTGCTAAAGGCCAGCTTCGGGAGGTGCAACATCTTATTGACCGTAAAAAACTGGCTTTTTCCCGTGACCACATGGGTGCTAGTCCTCTTCACAAAGCTGTACTTTATGAACAAACCGATATCATGGAGTATTTGCTGGACCGTTATAACAGTGTTATACATGCTAGGGATCATGTGAGTTACCATTTATTTTCCTAATTAAGATTGATTTACCCTAAACCTTGAATTTATTTTATGTCTTCATTGTAATTCACAAATAAATAAAACTCTGTGAATGATTTTTCAGAGCTATCAAGCATCAGATATGATAATAAGCTATTTGATTAGGACCACAGTAAGATGATGTTTAGAGCAACTTACAGTTTAAAAAAAACAAAAAAAACATTAATGGAATATTCCAATGCAGTAACACTATTTTTGTCAAACTATTTTCCCCTATGAAAATTATAAAATTTTATAATAATAATAATGAAAATGAAACATGGATACTTATCATGTATATTGTAAAAAAGTATCTTAGAATATGAAGAAACGTTTTTAAATTATATAAATGTATAATATACAGGGACAGAGAACATTATATTAAAATAATATTGGAGCTTCACCACATCATTACAGTTCATGTTTCCACAACTAGTCTTACTGTATCAGATGACTGTGATCTTAACAATAACCCCAGTGTAGTTTCCATTGTAAAAGGTTTAGTCACAAAGCTTCATGATCAAAGCACACTCCTTCTTCCTGTAACTTTCCATAATCTGTGTAAGTGAATGGCTGTTACGTAGTGGCTATTTCATTATTAGTCTAATCACACAGAATTCTATAGCTGTGTCTGGAAACTTGACTTTTATGTCTTCATATTGAATACAATGAATACCACTTCATTCTCCAGCTGCTTGAGGTATGTGATGGTCGAAAAAATTTGTCATCGAAGCAAACCTGTATACACACAAGTTGTGTTGCTTTTCCAGACAGATATTCTTCTTGATTATTTGCATGCTGTTTCCTGGAACACATGAATGGCTTTTACCACTGACCTTCGTGGATTCTCACCTGTTACGAGACACCATACTTCTTTTTGACAGTTGGGATGCAACTTTTTGCAGGTCTCTTTCTAGATGGTCCTAGTTCACAAAATTGGTCTATATTCCTTTGTTTCCAATTACATTAAGTACAAGGGATATCCAATCTTGGAAATTCTAAATTCCCAAGCTGAACACATTTTTATGATCTTAGTGTATGAATAGTTTGTATTGAAAAAGACTGTTTCATACCTTTCCTTAAAGCAGTAAATTTTCAGTGGCATCAAACTACCTACATAATGTCAAACAATGTTAAATGTAATCCTGATGCATGGCGATCCACCACAACTTTATACTGCTGTGCTTGTCATATGACATGAGGATTCACATATTCAAAATAGTTTTAATATAACATACTCATTCCTCTGTATTTTTCAAGGCTTACTACTGTAGTATAGCTAGCAAAGTATATTTTATTAGTTGTACTGATGTAAAGACATCCTAACAGTATTCACTACTATAATAAATGATATTTACTTAGTCCAGTTTTGTGATTAAAATCCTTCATAATGCTAACTTGTGAGACAAAATGCCTTTATTTAGCTCACATCTCATATAAAACATCTTTTCTTATTTTAAGGATTCCTTTCACTAACAGTATCCTTAAATAGTTCATTTGTGTGATAAGAAAGCATTTAAAAAGTTAATTTTGTGATAATACACTGCTACTGATCTTACATCTTCAATATCTTTGCAACATTAATTTTTATGGTAAGATACTTTTACAGGAAGGAGTCAATTCTTTAGTAAAACATCTTTACAAAGCTCATTCATATGATATAACACTTGCATTAGGCTTGATTCTGTGACAGAACACTCCTACAAGGTGTACTCTGGGGTAATATACATTTACAGCATTCATTGGTATGGTTATGGCATTTTTAAAGCACTCACTACAACCATATAATACATTAAAAAGAGCTAATTTCAATTATAAAACACCTTTACAGGGTTTACTCCAGTGATAAATATTTTTACAGCACTTGAATGAAAAACCTTTAAAAATAACACCAGTACTGTGCTGATTTCTGTGATATAACACCTTTACAGGGCTTTCTTTTGTAATAAAAATTATTTTTCTGAGTCAATTATTAGAATTATTTTAGTAAAAGAAACCTTTACATAAACTGCTAAAATGCTAAAAAACAACTTGTGGGTTGAAAACCATAGCTTATACAGTTTTTCAAAGAGTTACCACTGTAATAAAAACATATTTGAATGATTTTTATGCAAGGTTCTTGAAAGAGTTAGTCATGTAACAGAGTTTAGATGGCTCCTGTAAGCATTTTGCTAAACTATCACCAAAGCTACAAGGCTACATACATCTTTCAAAACATTTCATATTGATACACCATGAAATTACATCTTACTTTCATATTTATGTTGCACCAGCTTAATACTTTTACTGAGTGTACAATTATTTTTGTGGTAAAAGTGTAGCTTATTACCACCTTTTAAAGTCTGCTATGTACTGCATAAAGACTGTAATCAACTTTAAAAGATTTCTTTCATCGGAAACAGCCTAATATTATGTAATGCATCATGAAAAATGTCTTAGACACTCCCTTGCTAATTCACATATTCTCAGGAAAAAGTCAGAAGCAGAAGGCTGGGAGATATTAATATGTTTCTGAAGTCATCAAATAATTTGCTTAGCCATATTAGTAGAATATGAAATGCACTATTCATTGTAACCTGTTTTTTTTATCAATCTCTACCACAGCAAGGCCGGACCCCATTACATTATGCAGCAGTGTTAAAAGATGACGGAAAAGTCTATAACATGTTACTAGAAGCTGGAGCTGACCAGAAAGCTACAGATATGGTATCTGTATTTTATGTTTTCTTTATATTGTAATAAATTTAAGATGACTGTTATTTAAACTCTTAGGGAATACAAGTATTAAATATAAATGACGAAGAGACAAATTGTTTGATCATGATTAATAAAATAGTTGAATATGTTAACAGAAAATACTTGAAAAAAGTGTGTTGAAAGGATTAGTAACTGTTACTCATTTTGAAAAGATTTAAATAATATATCTTACCTGGATATTTTATATATAATTTTTTCAATACCCAGAAACTTCAACACTTTTGAATAGTTAACTATTCTTCTTCAGGAGTACAAAGTTTTTGGATCTTTTGAAAACTACTTGTTTTTTTTTTGGTGATCCTGTGTGTTAATTCTTTCATTGTGACTTTTGCATTTTTATTTATCATTTCAGTACAAGAAAAATGGCATAAAAAACTTTAAAGAATAACTTGATTTCAGATATACTTAACAGTTAGTAATTAAATGGTGAAACTTATTTTTACAGTGATTATTCTGTTGATGAACTGGTAAAAGGAAGACAAATGTTTTACTGATTTGTATTTTTGGAGATAGAGAATCTGAAGAAGATACATCTCAGTGAATGGAAATGTCATTCCATCATTTCACTATTAAGCTGTCCAATAGAAAAAGGAAAAAAAAACTTCATTAAAGCTGACTTTATGAAAGGTCTTTTAGGTGTTTATAATTTGAGACATGCTCAGTTTATTAAAAATTTATCTGCCACAAGTATGTACTGAAAACATAATACTTTTCAGTATATAATTCAGTAAGTAGATACAAGTTTAAGTAAACATAGTATTTACTAATATAAGGATTTCCAGAATTAAGCAATTAGTATATTTTCCAGCATGCCCACAGACCAGATTACTATATTCAGAATCCAAATCAACTGACACTCCAACAACTCAAAGAGGGTGCTGTTGTGAACAGAATAAAGAAAATTAAGCCAAAGCCTCAGCCTAAGCTAGTTGTCAATGATTCATACAGAGGATTTTCAGCAAGTAGGTGTTTGTAAATTAGAAATGAAACAAATACAACATTATAAACTGCATGTAATATTACAGAGTTCTATTTCAAGGTATTAAAGGAATAAAAAAGTCCTTCCTAAATTATCATACAACACTTCTACTAAAGTTATCTAAAGTGATAAAACTCTTTAAAAATACAGGTTGTGTCCATTACACTAAAATGATATATTAGATATATATTTGATTATCAACCATACACACAATTTATATTGTCAAAACTACTCAACATACATCCAGACATATGTTCATAGATATGGTAAAAAGATTCAAAGCATACTGTTTTAATGCCTTCTTTAATTGAGTGGGTTATTTTTCATTATTTAATAAAAGAAAATACAGAGTCCAGTCAACTTGATGAAAACATAATCGTTCATTACTGATAATGATTAATGATGTTTCTTGATAGCCTTAACTCAGAAATAAAACTAAACAACCACTTAATTCCAAACTTTGTTGAAACAAAAATTCAAACTTTACAGCATCAAACTGGCTGAATGACACGGTAACAGACTCACTAACTTACTAAATGAGTAGCGAACTCACGTATATGTTCAGCTCTCTCTCTCTTTCTGCCTCCCAAGTTTGGTCCTGCTAGCTCCAAACTATAGGAGTTTTGGGTTTTATCAACTAGCAAACATACTACATAGGATTTAATGCTATTCAAGACACATGTGAAATTTCTATGCATCACAGTGTTTCAAGAAAATGTAAGACTTTACTTGCTCACCATATCATGTTAAATCTAGAACTGTCTTTCTAGCCAAAATCATACAAATGTCTAAATTAAACATTGAAATATAGCTCACAAGAATATAAATATTTAACTACTATTAATGATCATGTTTAGCATAACCGACATTTACTGATAGGACTAATTTCACAGATAAACTATATGTTTAACAGAATTTCACTCACTCATAAATTTTGTATCTATTAATTTGCCAAAGCACAAACTGTATATTCATGACATTGAACCCACTAACCGACAAACTGAATAAATCATGCACAGATTACTCATTACCTAACAAAGTAATTCACTTACTCTAGCATAACTCATTCTTTATATATATATACAGCTCAAATTGTTTTCTAAACTTTGAAGAAAGTTCTAGACATTGTGGGGCAGTGCCCATTACATTGCACATAGATCACAGAATTTTTACAGGATATAATTATAACTAAGGGCTTATAGGATGTAAACAACAAAGTGTTTACTACATGTTATTGTATCTGATATGCTAATCTCGGTTAATGACTATTGCTTAAAGGAAGCTACTTCTTTATACAGAACATCATTAGACCTGCTTTATGTAAGCCAAAGAAGCAAAAGTTAAGAAGTTTGTTATTTAACAATTCTTAGAAGTTAAACATTAGTTTGGTAAGGTTGTTTGGATTTTAAAATAACTTTATGGTCAGAATGTTGTTTTTTTATGCAAATACTAGATCTAATACAATTATTGTAAACAGTCACAGACAAAGAAACAGACCTCTTAAATTACATTTTTGTGCAATTAATAATTTCCTACAGAACCTGCAGGGAACAGAGTCCAAATAAAAGAACTTATTGAACAAGGGAGCTTGGAAAATCTAGAAGAACTGTTACTTCAGGGTCATGGAGATAGGTTATTAGGTGAAACTTCCTCCAATGAGAGGATACAAGAGTTTTTAGGAATGGTGCCAATTTACATGGTATGTGGGTCAATTAACAGCCAATATAAGCTACTTTTTAAGTGTTTAGTGTGTCATATGTAATTATATAAAATAGGCAGAACAAAATACTTGTGTTAAGAATTAGGACACTTTTCTTAAGCAATTGGAAAGATAATAAACCATATTCCAGTTATTTAACTCAGTCATGAAAACACAGTGAGAAATAACTTATTGATTATATTAAAGAGGAAGAATAAACTACAAAGACACCAGAGAGAAGAATGAATATTGTGTGATTAGATAAAATTATTACATTTCATAAATACCAAAGAATATGTTTTCACAAAACTACATGCATGTGAATAATTATTAGATTATTACAGAAAATACTTTTAAATTTGTTTTTGTTTTTCAGGAGCGTATTAATGAAGTCCATCGAGCAGTTGTAAGAGGTCGTATTCGTGATGTGCAATCTTTGCTAGATCGAAAAAAGCTAGCAGTGGCTCGTGACCAATTAGGGGCCACAATCCTACATAAGGCTGTGATGTATGGACATTTTGAGCTAGCAGAATACATTGTAAAAAATTTTCCTACATGTCGAGACTGTAAAGATGTGGTAAGAGGCTGCATTTTACCATCAGAGTAAGAACAAAGACATGGTGGATTTACCAGTGCATGTACAAAAATTAAAGTTAAATTGGGAACACTTATTCACAGAATATTTTAGTCTGCTAAATTGATAGATATTACTTGTTAAAGGGTTAAATAGTCCTTTGTAATCTCACAATTCTTTATTATAAAAATATATATGAACTTATACATATAAAGGTCTGTTTTCTCATTAAACAAGTAAATATATTTATTATAAATATTAGTTTGTATGTATGTACTTTGCATTAATACATTATTTATAAGCTTACCTACAGCTAATGCAACATCATTCTGAAATGAGGATGTTATGACAACTAAAAATAGTAGTACTTGTCTTAACAGTCAAGTTTTAGCATAACATTATAGTATCTGAAAATATAAAAATTATAAACTCATATACGCTGTTCAAAGATATTTGAGGTACAGAGAAATTGAGACATTAGGATGGTGGGAAAAATGTTTTTGTACACACAGAATTCTAGGCAGGATGTTACCTAAAAGTTGTCAACAAATTCTGGACCTTTGGATGTTGCCTAAATTCATTTAACACAGAAATTTTCTGAACATAAGGATATAATGTAAAAGTAATAATTACAGAGCATTTTTGAACTTTGGAAATCTCTGAAGTCACTTATAAACTAATAAATTTCACATAACAGCATCTGGCACAAAAAGAATTTATCTCACTACATATAAATACACACTAATAAAACCTGCTGATCATCATAATGTAGATCAAAGATGTATCTTCATAATATTTCTGAATTTCATATTAAAATATATATACATCAAGTGGTGTACGCTTCCAGGTCAAATCCCAAACTTTAGTATTATAAGCTCTCAATCTTACTCTTGATCTACCAGGGGGGGGTCATAAGTACAAATGCTAACCCTGGCTGCATAAAAAATAATTTATGCTACATTGTGTGAAACTATTTCATGTAAATGTTTTCAAACTCTGAATTTTCTTTCTTTTAAGTAACAAAAGGTGATGTGAAGTTCATTTTTTATATTCTAGGATGGCCACACAGCTTTACATTATGCTGCTGTGATTCCTGATGAGAAACAAATGTACAACATGTTGGTGGATGCTGGTGTGGACACTGGAATTCCTGATGGTGTAGGTTATCAAATCATTTGTTAAAGCATATGGTGTTGAAGTAAAAGGCTAAATATTAAAGAACATTACGAAACCATTTATTATGGTACAGGCACTTCTCCATGTGTATTTGTATTTAAACTCACTCCCTCACAAACACACCAAAATGTTTTTACATTTAACCAAGTATTATATCCTTAAACATTGTCTTATATATTTGAAGATAATGAAAAGTTTATGTAACATGGCATTAATAACACCATACCATGACAAATACACTATGACACAATTCCCTTTTCAATTAAAATTAAAAGAAATCCTACCAAGGTTTTACTTTTTCAACATGTTAGACTACCATGTCTTCCATACTTTTCATTTATTCTTTTCTTGCATAATTCATAAAACAAAATAAATATAGCCAGTACGTGAAATGAGTGCAAGTTGTATAATTATACACATCTTACTGTCTAATTTGTGGAATTACATCTGCTTGGTTGATTTTGTAACCAGTGATTTTATGATTAAAATATAAGCAGTTAACAAAGCAATTAATTATTTGTTCTTATTTTGTGTAGCAAGTAGGCCTTGATGACTAAATATGGGATGATAGTTATCATACTTTAAGCAATTTATGTTTATTTTTTGGGGAAAAAGTATAGCTAATTGAATGATTTTTCATTGAATACACTAGTTACACTGTAATTTTAATAGTGCAAAAGTAAGTAAAAGTTTGCATGTCCAAACAACCTCTATTAATGGAGAGTAGTTTTTATAGTGTTTTGGGATTCTTCATTATTATACTGTTTAATAGAATCCACATTCCCTCATAATATAAACCTGTTATATTAATGTTGTTCATTATATTTTAATATAAAGCAACTGTAACATACCTGTAGGATTTTTTTTACAAATTTGAAATCATCTAGGTGGACTCTACTGTATAGGTAAAGTTAGAAAGTTTGTTGATGATAGGCCTAGTTGAGTTCAATAATTTGCATTTTACTATCTTATTGTTTTTTTGGTAAGATCAATTTGGTTGTTAATCAGTTGGTAAGTAAATAATGGTAAAAACTAGTGAAAATTTTGTTGTTAGCAGTCTTTCTAATTCTTTTTGTATATCAAGGCTTATAACACTGAGGAAACACATGAGAAAATGCTTCATATAATTGTTTTTCTTAACCCATGAAAGAAAGGGAAACCAGCAGAATATTACCTTCAGTATCCTGAGCAGTTTAACCTAGATCAGCTTATCAAACGAAGTCAAAGAGTGAATGCTACTTATGTTGCCAACAACACTAACTGGTTTATAACAAAGAATCCATCAGGTTTAAGTAAGTTAAAATACTGTGCCCAATACACTATTTTTTGTGATTACTTTTGCTCTAGGTAAATGTCTACCTAATAATTAACAATTTAACTTCTGTAGACTTGAGTAAATCTGTGTTCAGGTATTGATTTATATTACATATACATAAAATAGAGTACTTTAAGAGAACTGATTTTTTAAAGTTACTTTTACCATATTTAAAATCATACGACTAAAAATTGGAAAGAGCAAGATAAAATGTGTTTGTTATAACATTGCTGTCTTCAGCAATTATGCAGGTAATGGTTTCAACTGTAAAAACTAGCAATATAACAAGCAAAATCTATTTTTCAAGAAAAATGGAAAATTTAAAACCTTTTAAAAACAAATTGTGGTTTCAAGTCAAATAACTTATAATTTATAAGTTTGTGAAAGATGCTATAGGGGGAAAAAATAGTAATCTTGAAATTTGAGCCTATCTTCTTTTGTCTAGAGTTACTTGAATCTTAAGTCAAAATATGATTTGTTTTTTCAATATCTCTTCAAATGAATTGAGTAAGAAAAGAAACAAAGCTTTTAAATGTAAACTTTTGCATGATATGTTCAAAATTCTTTGTTATTTCACTATTAAATTAACTGTATATGGGAGTGGGAGTACAACAAAATGGCCAAGGCTGAAAATGTAAGCTGTCGAGCAGAGCAAGTCGAAAATTTGTAGCAGTTTATATTTCAACAATTGCACTACAAATACAAAATATATATACGTGCATCTATATATATACAACCAATTATGCACACTAATTGCAAATTAAAGTTAATTGCACAAAAAAAGTGCAAACATAAATTAAAAAAACTCCCCAAATAAAAAAAAGCTATACATAAGAGCTTTCTTCTCTTATTGCCTTAAAACCAAAACTAAAAAGTCCCTATTGAGTTCATTTGGAAATTAAGGAATAACAGAAGGGACTCCTTTATACAGAGAGTCATGGGTGTCTGGTCTGGAACAAACAGTCCAGCTATGTTGTTGAAGCCTTTGGGATCCTTCAAGAAACATGTTAATGATATTCTTGGATCAACAACTAAATGAGCAACATGGGCTGAATGGCTCCCTCTCATTTCTAACCTTTCTTGTGTTCGTATTTGGGAGTCTTAATCCATTCCATAATAGAGGTTATTCTTGACTTTCTGCACTTCAATGAACTGAAAAATAAACTCCTTAGCAGTTGGTGAAGGTAACCCTGCTTGTGCAGTACTTCTTTTCCCAGACTTCTCACTTGTGCTTCTTGCAGTGGTATTTGACAAATTGATAGTGGACTCCTCTGTAGAGATAATTTTATCTTGCAAGTTTCTGTCATTATTTTTCTGGACTTCAGCACTGGATTCAGTACAACAGCTTTGTTTTCTGAAGAGCTTCTTGCTGATTTTGATCAATTTTCTGGTAGCTTGTAATCTTGGTTTAGACTTTTTTGAATTTTCTTTACTCATTGTTGCTTTGCTTTTTCTTGGCCAAACTCTCTTGATTGGATTTGTAGGTACCTGAAAGGGTTTGATTACTTAGCTGTGATCGAGAATAATTTGACGTGCTGTTTGTCTTTCATAGGGTAATTACGAATGACCTTTTTGCCATTCTTTCCATAATTTTTACAGCTATTTCAAACACTACAAAAACGTTGTCGAAGAATATCAGTTATCTGTACCCACTGTTCATATGACCTATTTAAAAAAAACCTTTCTTTGCACCGCTGCCATTTATTGTTCATAGGTTTATCAATGAGGGCTGTATCATTTAATTGTTTCAAGAAAACCAGCATGATGAAATGTCCATCATACAGCCATTGATAACATGGGTATAAAAGAGGGTAATAAATGAGAATTAACAGAAATTGTTTGCCACGAATTGATGCATTATAAAGCTACAAAAACTTGTTTTATATGGTTTATAAGTATAGCAATACAAAGAACATCTCTCTTAATTTTTCAAAGATCCCCCAAATTCCCAAAACAAAAAAAGTTTTTATAAACAGAAAACTCCCACCCCTGTGTATGTATTTAAGATCTGAATAGAATAAATCTGACTTGAGTTTACTGATTGATTTTTTAAATAATTATTACAAGCCTTGAATAATTTTACAATAATTTCAAAATGTGATTTTTATGCAACTTGAGATGCAATTTAAATCAACATGCCAATACCACTTTTTACTACACTTAGCTACTGACACGCTTTCACAAAATTTTATATTTAGAAAAAAATAAAATAATTTATACAAAGCACATTACATGTTTTAAGAGATCCACCTTAAGCAAAGATGAAGGGAACTTACGTAACTAAGTAATTTAAAAAATTCTTGTTTTGACACTTAATACAAATAATGGGGTGGTAATTGTTTAGTGAAAAACCACAGTAAATGGAACAAATTGTTAGAAGTCTTAATATTGGAGAAACTAGTTTCAACACATTCGTGTGCCCTCTTCAGTCTCTGATGATGACCAAAGACTGTAGAAGACATTCCATTCCATTTAGTATGGTTTTTGCACTACCTGCTACACACAATAATGTGTTCTTTTATTACTATGAGATGATAGTTCTTAATAAGGATGATTATGTTCATAAATTTTTTCCTTATTATAAATGATGGTGCAAACTTTAAAATGTTACAGTATTGATCTGTGTTCACCTGATTGCTAAACAACTTACTTATTATTCAACTATAAAAACACTTTCTATTACAAACATTTTTAACATTATCCACTCTGTCACTGCATTCAGAGCTTGTAGAAGTAACTAGAAATTAATGAAAATCTTTATAAATTAACTGAAGCAATGTTTAAATTGAATCTTTGTTGTATATCTACTAAGGACAGTTTTGAATTTTTCTTTCTGAAAACCAAGTTACAGATATCAAATTCCTTCTTTCTAAAGTAATTTTGTTTCAGTTCCTGTGAACGGTAAATCTGGTACAAAACGTCGACTTTTTACTGGAATAGGTCCTGAAAAACTGTTGCCAGAAATTCAAGGTGAAGATGTAAGTAGACTAATAATTACAAACTTTTCGAAAAAAAAAAAAAAAGGAATCTTACAATCTCAAACACTTATAAGCTTAATTATTTCTAATAAAACATAGCTTCATGTCTTTAAAATAACATTTACACAAACTGAAAATCACGTTTTAAAAGAATACTTTTTTTGTCTTCCCCTTTAGGGTCAGATAGAAGAAGAAGGAAAGAATCACCTTCCCCAGTTGTTTGACAGACGAAACAACTATTGGACAAAACCTAAACTCCAACGTAAGATAAATGTTTAATTTAGTTGTAAAGGGGGCAGGTTGCTTTAAATAATAATTTTCTTAGCAGAGAAACAACTGTAAAAACCACATTAATGTCTTGTATATATGCAGGTCTTGAAGTCACTTCTGCTAATATTAGGAAGTGGATTCAAGAAGAAGACCTGGATAAATTAGAAGGGGCCGTACTAGAAGGCTATGGGGGAAAACTGAGTAGTGTGGAGACCTCTAGTGAGGGAGTCCAGAACTACATCAATGAAACAGTACCAAAGATCATGGAACGTATAGAAGCCATACATGCAGCAGTTGCAGAAGGAAATGTCTCAGAGCTTCAGAATCATCTGGACAAACAAGATTTTGTGTTGGCAAAAGACCATATGGGGATGACTCCACTACATCGGGCAGTTATTCTTGGCCATATGGATGTTGTGGAGTACATTCTCGATAAGTTCCCAGAGACTGTGAATGCTAGGGACAAGGTAGGTTTATGAACAAAGTTTTATGCAATAAATGATACATACTGAAACCTTGCTCTTATGCACCTGAAAAAAAATTAATCATTGATATTTAGAATTCACCATGCTTTGATGTAAACCTTTGCAAATAAGCATTCATTTATATCTCACACAAATGTATTTTACCAACAAAAAATAAGAGAGCTTAAGTTAGAAAACATCTGTGTGGTTCAGAAAAAAAAAGAGGAAAATACAGTACTATAATTATTCACAGCATTCCAAAATTAAACAATAAAAATTTACACTACTAGCCTGAGAGTTAAGCACAAATAAAATCCTCTAATTCACAAATGAACAAAGATTCTTGTAACACAACTGTACATGGTTAACCAGCAAATATTATGCAGCAGTTATTTATAACTTTGAAACAAGGCTTTTGTTCCTTTTTTTTCTTATGTCAAAAGAGTAGTTCAGTAAAGACATCACCTACTGATCTAAAATTCTCACCAAATAAAATGTATTACTCTCTCTCTCTCTAATATTCTCTATAGAGACAGAAAATATTAGTAATGTTCCCACTAAAGGTGGAAAATACCACTGAATTATTCCTACTAGTGACAGGAAATACTGTAATATTTTAACTACAGGTGGCAAGTAATACTTATTATATACAACAAATAACAGTGTGTTACTTTCACTAGAAGTTGCAAAAAGCATGATATTCTTACTATCAGTACAAGCTGGTAAGATATTCTCATTAGAGCATTATAACTATTTTTCTCAGTAGCAGCAGCAAATAGTGTTATCTTCTTACTATATACAACAAATAACTATATAGTATTTTCGTTGGAAAGAGTAAATAATGTATTATTCTCACCCATAAAATAAAATAATAATGAAATATTTTTACTAGATACAGCAAATAACAATATATTTTTCTTACTGGTGGTAGTGAAAAAAACACAATGTGTTCTTTCCATTGCAGCAAAATATAACAGTATTATTTTTTCTAGAGATGGCAAATAACAGTTTTATATTTTCATCAGTCAGTCTGTAATGACCATATGTCTTTTTATGTTGTTCTTAGGACGGAAGAACAGCTCTCCACTATGCTGCAGCTGTCCCCAGAAAAGATGGAAAGACCATGTTTAAAATGTTACTTCAGGCAGGAGCTGATACTAGAATCAGAGATCAGGTAACAAGTCCTAGTCCAATGGGTTAGCTCTTGTTTTAAACAGAAACAGTGTAATGAAATTCAACAAATGATTCAGCAATATACAACTGACTTATTTCAAGTCAAAATGCTTTCAAGGATATGGTAAAAAAAATAAAATCTTTTGTCAGGAATTACTAAACTGTCACCTTGTATTATCATTAAATGTAACTGAAGACAGAGTTCCAGAATATCCTAAAATGAATTTCCTATAAAAGATTTTATAACAAATATATTATGTACTTCACTGTATGATACCTAGCGAGGCAGAACTCCAGAGTACTACAGAACTCATCACCTGTCTGACAACTCTGACCATTCCAAAGAACAACGTGGTAAAACAACCAGTAATCAAACAGAAAAAGAAGTTAAAAAGGGCCGTAAGTAATGCACGTACTATACTCTACAACCCAAACATAGCGACTAAATCATGCTGTACACTTATAGTGGCCAATTGAAAATAAGGTGTAGAAAGTATTATCAAATAAAAACCTATTAAGATCTTAATATCTCAGAAGCACAAAAAATATGGTGGTACAGCAGACAGTGTCAAATTGAGCTGGATTTGTGAGATATGTATTATTTCTGCCTAAACATTTTCTTTATTGGTTTTAATGGATTACTTAAATGGCTGGTTTGCAACAGCATATTTTGTTTGTGATGATTATTGTCAATAACTTCTGAATATACACAAATTCTGTAATTCTAACTAAAATACACTAAAAATGCATACATTAATGAAAACAATACTGCACTACTAACTAATCAAATAAATTAATTTGAATGTAAATTACTTACTGTAATATAAATATATTACAAAATATAAGCAGGAAAGATGAATAATGATATTGAGAGGAGTATAAACCAGTCTGAGGGGATGTAATACATAATACACTGAATCATAATTTAGGTGCATTATTTGTCCTTAGTATTTTCTATCATTAAAAAAATGTTCAAATAAATCAGTTATAATTTTCCTATACTGAAAATGTATTTCCAATAGGTACTTAACTATTAACAAAATTTTTTCGCATGCCACAAGCCTCGAGCTCACACGTACCTAAGATCAACGTGGTTCAATTGCATCTGACATGCAAATCATCATGCAAAAACCCTCCACCAACTAGGAGTGCGACACACCCTCCTGATACATGTGACTCCCTCTATTTGATTCTAGTGAACTATCACTTTGAGTTTTGGCAGAAAATTGAAGCACCAGTTTTCTGTGGGGAGAAAGGGTGAGAAGAGGTAAGTACCTATCAGAAATACATTTTCAGTATGGGAAAATTATAACTTCTGATATGGTACCTTACCTCCTCTCGCATAAATAGCTAGAATCCCACATTGAATAGGTGGAGGGACCAGTGTGAGGGAAAGAAAGAAGCATCCGTTGAAAGTGTCCAAAGGACTTGGGAGGCCGCACCACTTCTGTATCAGGTATACTCTTTGCCTAGTGTGGAAAGAAGAGTCGCAAACATGGGCAGATATTGGGAGAAGCACATCCAAAAGGGAGAGAACACAAGTTGGATAGGGATCCTAACCACACAATATTGGAATCTCAATCCCATATAGTACATCAATGTAGGTGAAAGTAAAAAGATGTGCCGCAAGGTGTACAGCAGCTAGGACATGATGGACCATATACGGCAAGTCAACTACATCCAAAATCCAGCCACCAGAAACTGACACCCATGTGGGGGTAGGATGAGGATCATACTGTCGGTAAGTCAACTACAATCCAAAACCCAGCCACCATGAACAGACATCCATGTGGGGGGTAGAAAAAGAGTATTATACTGGCGACAAGCCAACTACAATCCAAAACCCAGCTATCTGGTGGGGGTAAGAAAGAGGATCATACCTTCTTTTTCTCAAGTTCAGCAGACTAGAAGGAATATCAGACCACCTGATTTATGAACGGGACACAAGCTAGCATTGTGATAAATTGTTTGACCGATCCAGAAACCTGACATCTGGACGATCAGTATAGTAACAATGTTTCTGTAATGTAAGCTATCTCACTCAAAACCAATCCAACAGGAACCACCCCCAGTGCAATAACATCCTCAGAATAAGAAAATAATCAAGGGATAGAATAAGATGAAGAACAGTATTAATCAGCAAGTTCAACCACCATGACCCACAACACGAGTGGAGGGAACAAGAGTATAAATGAGTGAGGAAACAAAGACACCTATAATACATGTGTGAGGACTTACATTGATTGGTTCAGCTCTGAATCCAAAACCCAGCCTCTGGGAACCAACTTCCATGTGGGGGTAGGATGATGGATCCCAATCGAAGGGGATAAGTGCAGTTTTGACTGCTCACTCCAAAGCTACAAATCCCCTTGGATAAACCTGTACACAGATGGAGCATCAGACTGGAGGGCATCTCCTCATCTACACTAACAGAATGCCCCACCCTACTCTCAACTGAATGGTTATATCATTATTTGTATCATATATCATTATCACATTCAGAGGGTTCCTAAATGGTCAACCACCCTAGCAGCTTGGAACTGGAAAGGGGTAAGGACTCCCATACTCCACTGGAAGGAAAAGGGGGGAGAAAATTCAGTGGAGAGTCTGGAGGAATGTCAACACTAGAGAAAGTGCAATGGGAAACCATGAAAAACCTATTTTGAAATGCAGACCACACCTGATTTATTCAATTTAAGGAATAGCAGGGATGTGCAGTTATCCCTTCTGCTTTACTCATGAAGTCCTTGGGTTAGTACGGTCCGGAACAGTCATATGAATAAAGCAAATATATCATGAGAAAAGCCTATGAGCAATCTTGTGGAACACCCCATCTCAACAGTGTGGAGTTGTCTAATTTAAGTATACCTGGACAGGCACCACTCACCACAGAGTGGGATCCATAAAGAAAAAAATACATCCTCCTGAAAAATAAGAGGTATATATACAAAAAGGTATCTTACCCAGTCACACTCTCACCAAAGAGTGAAGGATGGCGACAGATGGAAGATGGTACCCCGACAAGGAGAAAAACAGCTTTCTGAAGTGTATAATTGGAGATAAACGTATGAGGTGTAGTCTCAGTGCTCGATGGAAGAAGTACCTCTAATGCACAACAAGAGTGAGATGCAGGTAAAAGGGAAGGTGCTTAATCAGAGTGAAGACACCAGGAATTAATTAAAGGGAAAAAGCAGATAAGGAAGAAAAGGCCAGTTGAATCAAAAGCCAAATCCAAAGGGTAAGGGAGGAAGGAAAAAGTCACAAACAGAGGAGTGGTGTCAGGGAAGGAAACAGCAGGAAAAGGAACCAATGGAAAGAAGTCTTGAAAGCAATGAAGCAGCCCAGAGTAAGTATGGGACTTAAAAGGCCAACTGGATCCAACAGGATTAAATGTGGGAGATGTAAGGAAATGAAAATGAAGAAAAAGAAGAACATGCTCCACAAGCTGCCAAAATGGAGGTTAGGAAAATCGATCTAGAACAAAAAGGACAGATCGAGCTGAAGCAGCTGAGAAAACCAGCTCTGTATTGGCCAGGAAGGAGCAATGAGAAAGACTTGACACAGAAATGCAAGGATGAACAAAATCACCCTGGGAAGATGACGAATGGGATAAGAAAAGAAAGGTATAAACTGGTCCAAATCCTATCTGAATGCATCGTCAGCCAAGGTAAGTGGATGAGAAACCCTAGAAAAAGACATATAGATTTGAAACAAGCTCAAAGGGCAAGGCACGAAACTTGTACTCAACCCCATAGTGAACAAACTTAAGCCAGCTCAACAAGGGATGAAAAATAGGAATGTTGACCGTGGGCATCCTCAGTCCTGAAGAAAAGGCCCACCATAGTGTGATAAAAGACAATATAGGAAAAAAGGGAAAGAAACCAAGAAGTGATTAAGGTGAGACAGATCAAGCACAGAACTCCAAACTGCATTGAGAATACAAGACTAATGGAGGAACTCTTAGATGTAAATGGGGAGGTTCCAGATATGGAACATGAATAAAGAATGCAACGACCAAAGAGACAAACGAGCAACCAAAAAAAGAAAAAATCTAATGCAGCAATACAGATACCTCAAGTGGTGCTAAAGTCACAGGAGTAACACTTCCCAAAAAAATGGACCAGTGGAGGAAAAGAGCCATCTTAATTAGAAGTGGAAGGAAAACAAACCTGTTACAAGCCTAGGTAATTGTGCTGGAAGTAAATGACAGCATTTTTAAAGTGGATACATAAGCTTCGGTGAAAGAAGTTGAAAATATCTCCACTTTGTATGAAATTGAAAAAAAAAACATGGGAAGAGAGCACAAACAAAAAACGTCTTGACAATAGCACTGCCAGATGAGAAGTAATAGTTCGGTAGAATCAAATAGAGAGAGTCACATGTGTCAGGATGGTGTGTTGCACTTCTGATGGTGGAGGGTTGCTGCATGATGATTTGTATGCAAGATACAGTTAAACCATGTTGATCTTAGGGTATGTGAGAGCTTAAGACTTGTGGCATGCAAAAACAAATTACATATAAAGGGCAGCACTGAACAAGAATAGCTATTTATGTGAGCGGAGGTAATGTACCATATCAGAAATCATTGATAACATTTTACCTCACTTTAAGGAGGAGGAATACTGAAAATTTGGTTATTGCTTACAATACAACTGAAATAATTACTAACTGTTGTTGACTTTACAGTTTCATGCTTTCTTTTACTTTACAATTTATTGTTATTACCTTAATAATAACATTTTTAAACATATATACGAGTTTCCTTTTTTAATAACAAAAGTAAATTCTATGTAGAAATTTTATGAACCATTGAATTAGAAAACCTAAATACTTAGCTTAGCAGTTTGCCATGGTACTAAACTGAGCCGCACTCTAAAGTTTGTTGCTTTTTAAGATATTTTTAGGAATTTTGTGCTTCAGTACTTACATATTGGTTTAAATAGAACAAAATTATGACAAATTTGACTAATACTGGACTTAAAGCCACAGATGCAAGGCTGAATATAAAGGTACTATTCACTTGAGGTATTATGGAGTGAAATTTGAAATGATCTCTTGAAGTTTTATGTGCTTTTGGGGGGTTAATTTCATTTATATAGATAAGTATCATGTATTGGAAAAATAGGGGTTGTTGATTAAGTTCTTACTGTTTAATCATTTCAGTAGGCTTGTACCTGTAGCTTTAATATATGGTATATATTTATCTTTGCCCTTGTACTACTATTTCTTTTTTTCATATTCACCAAACCTTATCTAAATAGCACCCATTCCAAAGGCAATCATAGCAAAATCCAACAAGGCTTTATTAGATGGTGATGTGGCAGAACTACAAGAAATAGTAGGAGATGGATATGGTCACTATTTAATTAGCAAAACCTCGTGGCATGAGAATGTTCGGCAGTATTTGAAAGGATTGCCAGGACTTTTAGTAAGTTTAGAATACCATTTATTTACTCATTGTACATCTTCCATCTCTCTTACTAGTTTTTGAAGATGGCAATTTCAAATAGTATAAGTTTTTTTTTTGGGTGGGGAATTTGTAAGGATACATTGTCATTTAGAAATGCTGAATCTCCAACGTACAAATTCTTGAATTCACAATTCAGTATTTTTTATTATATACATCTTTTATTCTCTTAAGAGATTTGGCATAATTATAAATATTATAAATATATAACAGAGAAGAAATCATGCAGCGATACTTAGTCTGTATTCTTTTTATGGATAACTACACTGTTATTATTCCATGTAATAGCATGTTTATTTCTTGGAAAATTACTTCTAGGCCTTTTTATTCAAAGAAATTAATACTAACCTAATGTCATGAGCTTGTTGCTGTTCCAGACTTCTTTTGTTGTGTGTTTAGCACAATATATTAGTTACACTAAAAAGAACATTAAGAGTGTTAAAAAAACGGAAATGTGAATAATTACCATTATCTTTTTTAATAATTCAAAGTGAATTCGAAACTTGTGTTTTAATTGTTATTGAAAGATTTGATATTTACTTTCAGCAAACAATAAAGTATGAATTTACATAAAACATGGAATAAATATTTTATTTCTCTGTAGGACTTGAGTATTATGGTACAACAAGCTCTGAAGGCAGGTGACTTAGCAACTTTAACAGAACATGTGACAAATAATGAACAGTTACTGTGCATGAAAGATGAAAATGGTGAAATGCTTGTTCATCAAGCTGTTGTTCATAACCAGTTCCCCATACTTCAGTTTCTTGTGAATCAGTTTCCTCATGTTGTGAGACAAAGAGATCGTGTATGTATACACACATTTTACTCTATGTGAAGCATCTGTTCATATTATAATTAATATTCCAGTTAAATGCTCCAAGTCAAGTTCAAAGTAAATTGCACTAAAAATTATTTCTACTCAGAATTATTATTTTTATTGTAAGAAAAAATCCCTTGACTTTTTATCTATAGTATTACAAGCCATTTTATTTTGTCTTGTAAACCTATTAATCATGAAAGTTTTGTTTTGTCAGAGTGGCTGCACAGCTTTACACATTGCTGCCAAGCAAAAGGATGAAGCAGCTTATGAATTCCTTGTGTCTAAAGAAGCTGATCCCAAAGCACTTGACCAGGTAATAATAGATTATATAAGTCAATTCTTTACAACTTTTAGTAGCTAGTGAATGTGATCAGTTCTTTACATTGTTAATGTATTAAATAGTCTAATGATGTCAGTAACATTTAACATAAATTATTTACAGCACTCTGTTGGATATTTCTAACATTAGTCATAATGAATATTTTCACTTCAATTTTTAATTGAACAATACACTTGCAGTGGACATAAATAAAGTCACTTGTTAGTGTTCTGTTTGATAGTTTTAGCATAAGTGACAATGAATATGAACATTTCTTGCATGATATTTTGTCAGATAATTCAAACATACATGACAAAAATGTTGATAATTTCCTAAAGCTTTATGTTTAACATCATATCCTGTTATACAACAACAATTTATAATATTGCTTCTTTAATACTGTGTGCTTAAAACATCATTACTATGTTAACTGAAAGAGTTACAGAAACTTACTCAATAAAATATTAGCATAAAAAGGATGTTTAAAATTTCTGTAGGACCAGTAAGGAAAATAAAAAAGTATTGTTACACCAAAATGGATAAAATCCTGAAAATCAAATAAAAGCATTAATGAACACTTTCTTTCACAATAAACTGGTAAAAACAATATTGAGAAATTATATTACCTTGTTACAAAATGGAATGAATAAACTTTGCTTTTATTTACAGAAAGGAAGAACAGCTGAGTACTACATGAAACAAGGACAAAAATCTGAACAGATACTGACAAAAACTTCAGATGCTAATAAACAGGAGCCTACAGTGGTTTCAGACACACAAATAATGGGCGAAGACTTTCTCAAAGGAACTGAGAAAACTGTTGTCCCTATAGAACAACAAGGAATTGGTGATACTTCTGATATAATCATGGTAGAAAAAGAAACCACTGACAATATCAAATCCATCTCCAAAGAAACAGAATCCAGTAAAGCTCCCGAAATAACTCTAGCAGAACAAGACTTAAGTAACATTAAACAAATAGCATTTACAAAACAAGAAGCCAGTGATACTGTTGACTCAGTAACAGAGAATCCTGAAATCACTTATGCTTTACATTTAAATGATGAAAAGCAATCAATACCCACTGATGCACATGAAACAGCCCAAGAAGAATCAGAAGCTAAAGATTTTCAGAGACTGCCTCTAAAGTATCTTTAGCTTCTGATTCTTCGAGAGCTGTTTCAGGCTGCTTTTTCAGTGTCTGCCTCATTGATTTCTTTAAATTCCATATGATCCTTCTAGAGATGTTTCAGGTGCATCAATGGGTATTAATTGCTCCTCATCGTATAAGTCAAAAGCATCATTGATTTCAAGATTCTCTCTCACTGCTGTATCAACAGTATCACCGACTCCAACATGTTCTGAAAGTGGTACTTCTTGAATGTCATTAGATTTAAGGGTACTACTTTCTTCTGCCTTTTCAGTGTCTGCCTCATTGATTTCTTTAAATTCCATATGCTCTTCAGAGACTGCCTCTAAACTATCTTTAGCTTCTGATTCTTCTAGAGCTGTTTCAGGTGCATCAATGGGTAGTGATTGCTCTTCATTGTTTAAGTCAAAAGCATCATCGGTTTCAAGATTCTCTCTCACTGCTGTGTCAACAGTATCACTGACTCCAACATGTTCTGAAAGTGGTACCTCTTGAATATCATTAGATTCAAGGGTACTACTTTCTAAATCAGAAGCTAAAGATACTTTAGAGGCAGTCTTTGAAGAACATACAGAATCCAAGGAAGATAATGAGACAGACACTAAAAAAACAGATGAAAATAGTGCCCTTGAAGTAGGTCCAGCAAATGAATCTAATGATGTTCAAGAGGTAGATTTTATAGAAAAGTTTGAAGTTGGTGATACTGTTGACACAACAGCAACAGAGAATCCTGAAACCACTTATACTTTTGATTTAAATTCTGAAAAGCAATCATTACTCATTGATGCTCCTGAGACAGCTACAGAAGAATCAGAAGTTAAAGATGCTTTAGAGGCATTCTCTGAAGAACATCCAGAATCCATTAAAAATAATGAGCTTGATGCAGAAAAATCAGAAGAAAATGGTGCTCCTGAAGTAGGTTCAGCAGAACAAGAATCTAATGATGTTCAAGAGGTAGGTTTTACAGAAAAGTTTAAAGTCAGTGATACCGATGACACAGCAGCAACAGAGAATCTTGAACCAACCAATGCTTTTGGTTTAATTGCTGAAGAGCAACCAATAACCATTGATGCACCTGAGACAGTTCTAAATGAATCAGAAACTAAAGATACTTTAGAAGCAGATTCAGATGAGACTGTTGACAGAGCAATAGAAAATTCTGAAATAAACGATGCTTTTGATTTGCAACCAATACCCATTGATGTTCCTGAGACAGCTCTAGTAGAATCAGAAGGTAAAGAAACTTTAGAGGCAGCCCTTGAAGAACAACCAGAGTCCAATGAAGTTAATGAAGCTGATATTGAAAAAACAGAAGAAAGTGTTACCCTTGAAGAAGACCATGCAGAAAAAAAATCTATTTATGATCAAGAGATAGACTTTATACAACAGACTGAAACTAATGATGTTGTTGATACAGCAATAGAGAATCCTAAATCAATTGATGATTTTGATTCAATTACAGATGAGCAATTCAAACCCATTGATGCTCTTGCAACAACTACAGAAGAACCAGAAGCTAAAGATGCCTTAGAGATAGTCTCTGAAGAACAACAACAAGAATCAAACGAAGTTAATGATGCAGATACTGAAGAAAGTAGTGCCCTTAAAGCAGATTCAGTAAAACCAGAAACATTTACAGTGGTAAGTTCAGATGAACAAACAGATATCAACAGCACTAGCATAACAGGGTTTGAAGATCAACTAAAAGTCAAAGAATTTGATGAACCAGCTCCTGAAACAGAAAGACTAACAGACATTCCTAAAGAACAAGAAATCTATGATGAACATGAGAAAGATGTGGAAATTAAAAATTCTCCAACAGAAAAACAGGCCACTGGAGATCAGTCAGAAACTGGTAATTCTTCTGAAGATTTCCGTCTAGAAGCAGAACCTAATGAAAATGAGAATAATAGTGATAATACATACAATTCAGAAAATGATGATGGATCAAACAAAAGGAACAATACTACAGAAATGAGTGCAACTTCACAAGATCGTAAGTTCTAGCTTCATAACTATTAAATGTTGCAGTGTGTGACTAAATTTTAGATACACAGTTTTTTATTTGTTGAGAGAATAAACTAACACTAAAATCTGTTATCTGTAAGAATATTGCATTTATTTTTAGCATTAAAATTATGCAGTAATCTATATTAGCATCAACAGTAATCAAATGGAAGCTTGGCATTTATAAAATTAACTAATATCAGTATGTATAGGTATTTTGTCAAAATATCAGCTTCTAAATAATGTTTTAAAAAATTCTAATTAACATAATTTATCAAGCACTATAAAATTGTACTACTAATTAGATTTTGATAGTAGTTTGGCTTTAATAATATTCTGATTTCGACTGTCAATTAATTTTAACAGTATTTTGTTCTAATTGGGTTTACACTTAAATATTGACTTAGATTCTGACATTTTCACTATCAGTCAAGAGAAAATTTCAGTTCTAATATTATGTGTATAGCAGTATGAATGGTCTCAATACTCAGATCCACACATCTTTTACTTTGTAAGAACAACCACCATTATTTTTTTCATTTCATTACCTTAGAGATATACTTTTAATACGTTTCAGATTCCAACATACTCTCCAATAATTCAAATGATAATTGCACTCAAAAGAATTTTATTATAATGATGAAAATTATAAGTATTCAGCTGAGAAGTTTATTAAACTTACATATGTTTTTACTTGTAACTAGGTGTCACAATAGTACAGCTCTCAGATTTTACAGTAACTTAATTCCTAATTATTAGACTTAAGCATATTTGAATTTATAATTATTGTATTTAAGCATATTGTTCTTATATTTTTAATATTTTAATTTAGAAGTTTGTTGCTAGAAAAAGCATGTTATGATGTCATCCAGACATTTCATGAAAGTTAAGAATCTAGAAGCTTTGTGTGTATGTAGAAAGAAGGGTACAATATAAATATAAGTGAAAATTCAGTGAGCATTGAGTAAATCAGTTCAGTGCCAATCAGCGAGTTATTCAGTTCTGTGATTCAGGGAGTTAGTATGTTTGATATCGATCAATTGGTAAGAGGAAATTTAACATGTAAGTTTATATCTGCATTAGGCATACCATTATTCTCAGAATTTCTGTTCAAAGGCTGTTTGAGAAGTTAGGCCTACAAGTGAAAGTAACCTGTAGTAAATGTTAAAAAAGAAATTAACTTATTTGTTATCTTTATGTGGACTGGACTTGACATTATTTTTACCAAATAACCCAACAAATGATTGAACATTTGACAATATTATAATCCATAATTATTAGACTTAAGCATATCTTAATTTATAATTATTGGACTTTAAGCATGTCTTACTTTATAATTATCAGTCTTAAGAATTCCTTAATTGCTAAATATCAATTTAAAAATATCTTACAGTGTAATTTCTAATTATCAGATTTCAAGATATTTTGATACCTGTTTACAAAACTTGCAAATATCTTAGTTCCTAACTATCACACACACAAATATCTTAGTTCTTAATCATCAGATATAAAAATACCTTAATTCCTAATTACAAAGTTTTAAGGTGTCTTATTTTCTAAGTACAAAACGTAGATGTTTTTACACTGAGTTAATTTAAAAAATTTCACTTTTGACATTTTAATAGAATATTTGATAGGAGACAGATATCCTCTCTATTAATATGAAGAAAGCAAACCTAATCTTTATTGTTTAATTTAACTTTAATTTGTCAGAGTATCTTAACTAC